TCCCATGTCTACTGGTTCTAAGTTATCGGCTGACCAGTGTCCCAAGACTGAAGAAGAAAAAGAAGAGATGGCGTCAGTTCCTTATGCTAGTGCAGTAGGGAGTCTGATGTATGCCATGATTTGTACTCGACCTGATATTGCTCAAGCAGTGGGAGTATTGAGCAGGTATATGTCCAAGCCAGGAAATGAGCATTGGACGGCTGTGAAGCGTGTGTTCCGCTATCTTCGTGGTACGTCTGACCTTGGGTTATGCTATGAAGGCGTAAAGGGCTCAAGGGGACAGACATTGTTAGAGCTGAGATGCTTTGTGGATGCTGATTGGGGAGGTGACATTGATAGTAGAAGATCTACAAGTGGATATGTTGTTTCTTCATTTGGCGGAGCTATCAGTTGGATGAGTAAGAGGCAGAGCACTGTTGCTTTATCTTCTACAGAGGCTGAGTACATGGCCTTGACACATGCTGTTAAGGAAGCTATTTGGTTACGGAGGTTGTGCAAAGAGCTTGGCTTTGCACAAGGAGAGATGATCGTTGGGTGTGACAGTCAGAGCGCCATTTTCTTGGCTAAGAACCCAGGTTTCCATGCGAGGACCAAGCATATCGGCATACAGTTCCACTTCATCAGAGAGAAGATTGAAGACAAGGTTGTATTGCTGGAGAAGGTTGACACAAAGGTCAACAATGCTGATTTTCTGACCAAGGCAGTGACTTCGGAGAAGTTTGAATGGTGTACAGATGCTTTGGGATTGAAGAAACATGTGAAGCATTCACCAAGTGGGAGAATGTTGGGTATGGCTCATACTTCACATGATGATGTTGGCCCTAATTGTCGGGGTCAGCAGAAAGGCAACTGGTTTCTTGTAATCCTATTTATATTTGCCTTGTAAACCGAGAGACTTGTAACGAGTGGCGGTGAGGTGAATATAGTACAGACAAGCTGGACGTAGCCTATATTGGGTGAACCAGGGTAAATCATCGTGTCAATCTCTCTACTCTTATCTCTTTTTCTGTTTTCTCGATTCTGTGTGATTGTCGATTTCCAACATGAATAACAATGTTCTAGATCATAAAGGAAGCTCTCTGCTTAAGAGTGTGAATAAGTCTCCTCCAATGCTCTATAACAGCCATTTTATTGAGATTTTTGGCAATTAAAAAAGTGTGGGACGATTCTTAGCTGGAATTTCATAGGTGCTGATCGTGAGAAGAGCCGACAAAATGGGCTCGGCTCGGCAGGTCAATCCGCCCTATCGGCTAAACGGGATGGAGCGGGCTGAGTTTTTCAATCCATCTCAAAAGCGGGGCGGGCTTATTTTTTGGCAGATTAATGGCGGGCATAGACAGGCCGAGGCGGGTCAGTGTAAAATAAGTTCGGGCTGGCAAGCCAACCCGCCAAACGAGACGGACTACTTATTTTTTAACGAGTTAATGGCGGATTGGGACGGAACGAGCCGCCCACTTTACCGCCTCTGATGGTGAGTGGTGTGATGGTGAGGAACAAATCATGAGAAGACCACTAACTGTGTCTGCCAATGGGTGATGGACAGGCATGCAGGAGTAGCATGGGTGGCCTACTTCTTAATTTGCTGCCTAGCTGTTTTTTAATCTCTAAAAGGCCTCTAATCCGGGAACCTTGCCCGAAATAAGGATATAATTTAGTTGACAAAGTGATTTTCATGTGTTCAAATTAACATTTTTTTTATTAAATTGTTTGGTGCCTGCACAAAATCATGTTTAAATGACCTGCACAAATTGTTTGGTGCCTTTTGGCAGTCAAAGTCAGATTAATTAGCATCGATTCAATAATGTAATGAAAAGAAAGTACTTTAAGAAAAATGGTCTTATAGATATTAAAAGGATGTTCACTTTATTAGCTTCATGTCAGTGTGTGAGTTTAGATCCCATTATTATTAAGATAAGGTGGCTCCACTTGCAATGTACGAAAAATATATATTGTATTAACACGTGAATACCGGCGGTCGACAGCAAACATATTAGTCACATTTTGTTCGTTATATAGGATGGAATAAATTAAAGAAAATGAAAATGATAGAGAGTTGAAAATATGCATAAGGTACAAATTTCTTATCATGCAACGCTACTAATGGTCAATTAGTAATTCTTTAAGAAAACTGATTTTGTAACTATTTATTTTAATATATTTCTCTTTCCTTTTTTATTATTATTAATTTATCTTTGTGTCATTATAAATTTTCTATATAATCATATTATATTAAATAAGACATGAGAGAATCCACTCTTCATTCTCACGAAATACTAGTGCCACTGTTGTCACTCTATTACTATTCCCTGCACAATCATGCACCACAGTTTGCACAATTGCCCCAATTTACTCCAACATGATTTTTAAATTAGGTTTGGCAATTTCACTCATTTTAAATGCACCCAACTCTTAAAAAATCGATAATCACTCATAAATCGCAAATAAAAAGTGAAATAGAGAGAGAATTGGCACAATGATTTATCCTAGTTCATCTAATATAGGCTATGTTCAGTATCTCTGTACTATATTTACTTCATCGCCACTTGTTACAAGTCACTCAATTTACAAAAAAATATAAATAGAATTAGAAAACATCAATAGCAGCTATTCATTGGTCCAAGTTCAAACTATTAAAAAAAATACAATAAATCAGAGACACACAACAGTACCTATCCTCTACGAGCCTGGTGATACTGCCTCTCGGATCCCCACCGGAGTGGCTCCCCGAACCCTCGCCAGCTCACCTGGAAGCGAGATTCTAGTTGCATTTCTGCTGATCTTGACCACAAAGACTCTCATCAGTATACAAAATATGAGCCATATTCAACACCAATCCGTCGCATGTCAGATTGTTATTAATCCTCATTATTATAATTATGGAGCAAGACGGACAGAGTGCAGATTTTAAATTTTCGTATAAGACAAGGTAATATTTTCATACCCATACCTGCAAGGAATACAGGGGTGGGTTTAATACGATTTTAAGGGGTGCAACGTGCAAAGTGATATTTAGCCTACCCATTGATAGGCCTATTTCCAACTCTTGTCTCTGCCACCTTTGCCATCATAGTAAAATTATTCATAGGCATATATAACTTTGCTGAAATAAATTAAAATAATTGTACACAAAAAAAAATTAAAATATTACATTAAATTATTTATGCGAGGGTATTATTGTCATATAATTTTGTTTTCTTTCCATTTCAACATTAATCCAGTGCATAGCAAACATAAGGATGGAATGGAACAAGTAATTCCGTTCGTCATCCCAACAAAGTTGACAAAAGAAAATAATAACTCCATTTTGTCTACTCATTTGTTGGAAAGTTATCTAAACAAACCAGACAAAAACCAAAGGGTAATATATTAAATAAAACAAAAAAGTTAAACTAAGCGGACATTTATTTCAAGGTATATAATAATATTTCTAAGAATAATACTTCTAAATAAATAATAATGGGGAATATTATTCCTAAATAAATTTAAAAACATATTTAGTTATTATTTAATAATTTTGAGAATGTTCCCTAAATTTTTTAAAAATGTATATTAATAATTCTCAAAACGTCCTGGATATACAAAGTAAGGTTCTCAAAATTCCACCAATAAACAAAGGGCGAGGTTTGTGCATATTTTCATTGAGGCATTACAGGTATTGGATTTATTTTGAGTTAAAACAAGATGTCGTTTCTATTAAAAAGGAATTGGAGTCAGACTCTTATGTTAAGCATATAGCAAATAAATCAATAGAACAGAATTAGGCGGTCTAGAAGGTTAGATTATATGAAAAAGAATGTGATAGTTAATAGCACGTATTTTAATTTTAGAGTAAATATCATTTTTGGTCCTCAGCAAATTTCACGGTGCTCGCTTTAGTCCCTAGAAAATGAACAGGTCTATCGTGGTCCCTAAGAAATTTAAAATGGACCTATTTAGTTGAAATCGTGGTCCCTCACAAATTCAAAAAAGACACATATTAATCCCTCAAAAGGACTAAAATGGGTCCATTTTGAATTTCTTAGGAACCACGATGACCCTTTTTATTTGCTAGGGACTAAAGCGGGCATCGTGAAATTTGCTGAGTACCAAAAATGATATTTACTCTTAATTTTAAGAAATTTTCATTGTCATTCTATGGGAAAATAACTTACCTAACCCATATCATAAGAATAAAAATGAAGTAAAACATGCTTCTTGGGGCATCAATGTCTAAGTACATATTACATATTTTTTTAAGCTTATAACAAAAATGGATATATTTTATTTTCAAGTTCATATTCTCAAAATAGCAAGTTGACCATCCTTAAGCACCTCGTAAGGAAGGCCTTAAAACTGTATAAGGATGCAGACAGGAAAGCAAAAACTCAATTGTGAATACAATAGACAGTATTGGGATATGTATAAGCTAAAACCTGATAGGCCCTATGTACCCAAAAACAAAAATAATAATAATAGGCCCATTACAGCATATGGTTACCACTTACCACTTGCCACGGATCAAACACCTGAAAATCCAAAGGTCCACGAGTTAAATATTTTGATAAGCCATGTCCATCTCCTAATCAAGGGTAGCCTGAATCACTACCACTGGAGAAACTTAAATTGCACATGATATGATTAGTGTTGTATTGGTAAAGCATCCTATGCACCGTTTTTCTTTCTTTCTTTTATTATTATTATTATTATTATTATTATTATTATTATTTTGGTGGTCTCCCTATGCACTTGCATAATGCAAATATAACGATACAACAGACCTGCATCTCATTTGTACTTGGTAGCTCTAAAAAATAGGTATCCGACTTGGTGTACTATAAATTCACCAAGAGGACTGGTTCCAGGTTCATGCAACAATCTTTATATCTGCATAGTTCCAGAAGTGGCATATTTTACAGGCTCATGCTACGAGACAAGCAATACTTAAATGTTGTGAGCATCAGTAATCCACCTGAGTAAGTAGCCATCAGATACCTTGGAGGAAACAACCAGTTTCTGGCTAATGTCAGGAGCAATGACGGATAGAATAGATTGAGGAAATCAAGAGTCCAGAATACAAACTACAAGATATTCTCACTTTTGATAAATATATTCTGACTGCACTAAACAGTTTTGATTCAATATTGTAGACGGCAGGAGTGGTTAAAACGAGTGGAATCATACATGTCACACCACTGGCTCCAAGGCACCGTGTTTTACAAAAAAAACAAAGTGCATGTATATTTTGGCGTACTCATTCCTTCGTGACTCGCACAGCACCAGGTGAAAAGGACCCCATCTATTAAGGAACCAAATAATCAATCACAAAGAAGCCAAGTCCAGAATGTGGGAGGAATAATACACTATTTGGAAAGACATCGAATGTAGGCAAACACTCAAGACAACTACTCATTTCCTAAGTTTAAAGAACCATCTTTCATCAACTTTAAGCTCAAGCTATTGAATCTCCCACGCGAATAATGCCTAGATGCTTTTCTCCAATCCGTCCCAGTTTTCATCATAGCTACAAATTCATCATAGCTGATGCGTCCATCCTGTAATTGTTTAAGATTTTTAGACGGTAAGATTTCCTAATCGAGACTCATGTAAAGAACAAACTATCGAATATTCACCTTGTCTGTATCTACTTCTTGGAAAATATCATTTGCAACATCCGTACAGTCATCTGCTCCATCTTCCATTAAGGCATTCCGTAACTCATCTGGTTCAATATATCCATTCCCATCCTTGTCAAAATAGGAGAAGGCCTTGCGAATATGCTCATCATTAGCCATCCTTTTTAAATGAAGGGAAACAGCAACAAATTCTCCGTAGTCTAGTGTTCCCTTACCATTATTACCTACCTGTTGTCAACAAACAAAGGTTTATAGACAAAACAAGAACAATTTCCAGCTGGACATGCTCACTCAAAATGATAAATAGTATATCTATATCATGTTGCATGTGGTAAAGCTGTTCTTTCATGACTGAAAGGTCATGGGTTCAAATCCAGGAAACAACCTCTTTGTAATTATGCAAAGGTAAGATTGCGTACAAGGATTACCTCCACCCCACACTCGCTAGTCGGGTTTAACAGAGAGTGATTTTTTTAAATTATGTTGCACTATGAGATGTTGAATGTGGCAACTTTAGATACAACAAGGAATAAGGGAAAGTTGACCACACTCACAGATTCAATAAGCATCTGAACTTCAGACTCAGCAAGTTGGGACCCATTGTTTTGAAATCCAGCTTTTAGTTCTTCAATGGAAACAATACCATCATTATCAGTATCCATCTTCTTGAACATATCTTTGATGTCTTCAACTTCTTCAGTGGATAAGAAATCAGCAATGACCTGTTGTCAAATTTACAATCTTAGCTCCAATATACCATAAAAGCACTTGCTAAAGATATCACCAGATGCAGTGAACCAACCCTAAGAGCTTTTCTTTTGAATCTGTTCATCATTGAAAATTGCTTAAGCCTTGACTTGACAACATCTCCAAGAGGAACATTAGGAGCCTTCTTAGCATTTAGGAGCCAGGGATGCTCTGCAAGAAAATAAAAGAAAAACATGATGAAACTCATGCATTCGTTCTAATAAGTCATTAACATAATCACCATAAGTGATTTCTAATTAAAATCCTTTAGAACTACTTATTAAAATAATATGTCCACACATAATTCTATCTCCTTCAAACATCTACTTTGTTTCCCAGAAGTGTTTGTTCAAGAAAAAAAGGTTACAAAATAAAGAGGTTTCTAGGGATTTAGAATATGAAATACAGCAAAAAAACATCATAATCAAGCCCAAGTAAACGAGACAGATCAATTATTAAAATCCACAAAGGAGTCTTTAGCACTTTTCACTTGATTTCTCTTTAGAATATATAAAATAAACAACTAAATCATTTTAGTGCTGAAACTTTCAGCATTCAATTGAGTTTTCAAACATCACCGTAGAGTAAGATGCAATAAAAATTAAACGAGATTAACATACCAAGCACTTGTTTGGCAGTTAAACGAAGCTTAGGGTCTGGTTCTAACATTTGCCTAACAAGACTTTTAGCACTTTCAGAAATACTGGGCCAAGGTTCCCGTTTGAAATCTATAAGCCCTCGAAGAATGGCCTGTGCAACTCCTTGTTCAGATTCTGCATTAGAAATAACATCAGGGTAAGAAGATAATAAAAAAATTACGTATGAGCAGAGGGAGTAATAAAAAAGACCCAAGTTCAAAAGCACAAATCGTGTGATACACATGAACCAAAAGAAAACACAACTTGTCAGATGAAAACCTTGTCCAGCAGCATTAGTATGCCCCAGCCTCACCCAAACCAAAAGAAAAATTGCAAAGAAATATAAGCATGCAAGCATTGGTAAAGAAAACAAGGGACAGACGCAAATGTCCAAAGATGCTCATGCATGTGTAGAGGAGGGCATGCATAAAGAGAAGCACAAGAATATAAAGATATGGGAATGTATTTACCAGCCCAAAATGGGGGAACACCACACAATAAGATATAGAGAATTACTCCAGCACTCCATATATCTATTTCTGGTCCATAGTTCCGCTTGAGCACTTCTGGAGCCATATAATATGGACTTCCAACAATTTCTGAGAACCTCTCACCTGGAAATTTGAATATTACCCACATGACAACATTATGGAAAACAAGTCAGATACCATAAGCAGTGAAAAAAGATTGAAACATAATGATGAAACATGAGTAGACAAAGTAATACAATGTGCTATCAGATGGCAAATCATCAACAAGGAATGGTATATGCTCAACCTAAAGATTAATGTCTATAGCACTGATGTAAGCGGCCAGGCTGTGTTTTCCAAGAAAATAAGCTGTTTGGTTTGTTTCCTGTTTTCATTTTCAATTGATATGTCTTTATTATAATTACAAAAATGCCACCTATTTTCATACTGTTTCTTGATTTCAAAATTTTGTGAAGGAAATTGAGAAAAATTATAGGGCTGTTTGGTTCTATTTGTTCTGTTTTTGAAAACAAAAAAAAAAATTTAAAATGCTGAAAAAACGTGTTTGGATAATTTATGTAAATAGCACATTTTATTAGACAAAAAAAATATGGAAACAAGCCATAAAAATTTCTTTCTTTTCTTAGAAAAAACATTATTTAACTAATGTCAAATGAGACATCTATACAATAGAAAGAAACCTAGCCAAATTTCATACAAAAGGTTTAAAAATCACAGAAAAACATTCAGAAATCAGAAACCTTACTAGTGAACCCAAAAATTAATCATACTTATTTACGGAAAGGGGAAAAGGAGAAGGAAGATGGCAATGCCCTCCTTCCATCCTCATTGATGGTCCTACTAGAGCGACAAATGTGCATCACGTGGCAGATTTCATAGAGTGTATAATAGTAAGAGACATAGGGAATCTCAGCTTCAAAATGCTAAAAAGGCTCCTAATGTCCCTCTTTCCATACAAAATTAATCAGCATAGGCAAAAAGCCGTAAAAAGTACTATGCTGTGTCCCTCTGAATCACAAATCTTGGTAATGTGCTTGGCAGATACCTCGTAGCTTCTCCTTGGCACATGTCCCAAGCAAATGAGATAGTTTTAGGAGCATTTGACCTTTCTCCTCAGCAGCCCCCTCAACCTCCAAATTGATCTCCAAACTCTGAGTCAGGTATCATATCACTCAGTAAAGAAGTTCAACTGGGTCTCCAAAAAACTAAGTCGGGTATGACATCACCCAGTAACACAAATTGGGGGTCCTTTGCTAAGGTATAAGCCCGTTTGGATGTGCTTGTTAAAAAAGGACTTTTTATGGCTTGCTTATTTTAGAAGTGTTTTTTACAAAAGCTAAAGTTATTTAGATTTTAAAAATATTGATCTTTGAAAAAAATATTTGAATTTTGAAAAAAATATTTGGCTTTTAACTTCTACTTTTCTGGAAGCTAAAAATTTTAGCTTATAAAAAAGCAAGTTTTTGGCTTTTTTGTGACTTCTGTTTTTTTTAAAGCAGACATCCACACGGATTTTGTAGAAGAAGTGCTTTTTTTTCTTTTCTTAAAACAGCAGTTTTTGGCTAAAAAAAAAGCCCATCCAAACGGGCCAACAGTCTCCAAAACACAAATCCTTGACGAATTAGACTACAAAAAATTACTCCAAAGCCTCAAACAGCATCATTGTTCGATGCCAAACAGGCCAAGCCAAGACGGATGAAACACCAAACAGTCCATACAAAGACAGAACAAAAACCAAACATGCCAAATAGAGTGAGAACAGCAATTCACCAACCAAACAAAGCAAATCCAAGCAAAACATAGGCAGAACAACAATCAACTGGAACACCATTGCCACCGAGTCACCAACCAAACATTGCAGGACACCATCGACAGATGTCCTCAAGTCTCACCACTCTGGTTGCAGCCAAACATGGAGGCACTTACCATCCAAATGCGTTCAAAAATGACAAGCTTCGTTCTCAAGCATTTGTTACACAACTGGCCTCCAATAAACCCAAATATCCCGAGAATTCGAAGAAAAACCAAAATTGAGGTATAAAATAGTAAGAAAAATCAAATCTGTAATTGATATTGCTTGAAAATTTACCGGAGCTCGGGCCAATCATCACCCCCCGCGAGTATCCAGGTTAGTCACCAGTCCTAGACGCACCCACACCACGGCAGCTCTAGCCACCGACCATGTCACAGACTCCAAAAGACTAAGGAAGCCCAAAAGTATGCCCACTCCAGAGTCCAGACAGATGGGCAGGAAGGGCTTATTACCACTGCTACTGCAATACCCACTGGAAGTCTTCCAGTCAACAGAAAACCAACTATTTTGCACAGGCTAGAACAAAATATTACCTAACACTAACAGTCATAGAGAGGGCCATGAATTATCACTGAAACTAGAAACACCACAAGCAAATCAAACAGACGCCAGTCCCTTACTAGCTGTTGCGGCAGAAAAGAGTCCCCAGAAGCAGCCCTATTTCGGCCTTAAAACAAATTGAGCCAACCGGCCCTTTGAGAACAGATTCTGATATAGAAACAGGGGAAAGAATAATACAGAAACCAGAGGAGAGAATGTACAACAGAGTTCGATGAACTCAACACTAGACAAAGGAGACTCTCCTCAGGGTGGATGCTACCACTTTTATACCATGTTAAGAATTATAGGTTTAGGATTAGGGAAAGAGGAAAAGAGAGAATGCGGGCTAACTATAATAACACTGAATATTATTAATAAGATGTAATAGTTATCAGCGCTGCTTTTGCATGCTATTGCACTACTGTAGCGTGTTGTGGCACCCAGCCGCTACGCTACGCCACGCGACAGTTCATGGCAGCAGCCGCAATAGCAGTCAAATTGTGGCCAATCACAGCGCTATTTGCGTGCCACAGAAATGGTGCGTGAGATTCTAATTTTACCCTCAATTTAAAGAGCCAACAATAATATTTTAGGGGTTAAATCGTCCTTTAACCCTATTTTATTCCGAACCTCTCTACTCACTCACTCTCTGTCCCTCTCTGTGCGTCAACCTAAATCTCCCTCTCTCTCTCGTCTCTCCGCTACTAGCAGCACTAGCAACCAGCTTTCATTTTTGACGACCAGCTTCTGTTTCCAGCGACTAGCAACTAGCTTCTCTCTGTTCCAAACATTATGGTGGGTTCTTTGACAGTGTTTAATTTGCAAGAGTGAGGTTTGTTTTTGGTGGGTTCTGTGACATTGTTTATTTGTCTTGGGTTCTCTTACAGTATTTATTTGTCTTTCGTTTAAAGGTTCAATTATATGTATAGGACTCTGCTATTGCATGCTACCGCTACCGCTACCCGCTACAGCACTATAGCATTTTTTGGGGGGTCAGCCGCCATCCTAATTTGATAACTATGATGTGTTACACTAATACAATAATCTAATGCCCCTATATACTACTAATTAGGTCAAGTAGCAGTCCTAATAGTACAAGCCCAAACCCACTCTTAATAACCTTAATATATTCTAACAATAACCATAAAAAAAGAACCAAAAAGGAAAAAATAATACCTGTTGTATGTACTGCAACATATAATAGCCACAGGAAAATACCACATTAATGCTATTGTTATTATTACTGATCTAAATTAAGTGAGGCAACTCCTGGTGCAGTTGTAATAAAGACTCCAGTGTTTGCTATATTTGGCAAGAGGGTTTGGAGGGAATGGAAAAGAAAAGAAAAGGATTGATACATTTGAACTAACTTGTTCTCCAGACAATCTCCTTCCATCCGTTTCCCTCCAAACCTTTCAAAACGAACATAATCTAACAGAGAAACAAAGCAACTTCCAAGCTTAGGGTTTGCTGATCTTTCATTGTCGATCCAGATCAAATGCGGAGTCCACATTTCCAATTTTGCTTACAACAGAGAAAGTCAAGGCACTCCCATTAACACGATGGTGTTCAGAAGCTGAGATTTAAAGACAGCAAGGAAATTTAAGCTGTGACTCGTGAGAATACCAACAGTCCTCCTACTTTTCCTTTTATGCGGCAGATGCAAAATGTAGACCGTAGAGAACTTAACTGTATCAAGTATTCTAGACTAAATAGCCATCACAGGCATCCCAAACAATAGCTGACCAACAGAGTCGTTCAAAGCATAATTTTACACGACAGCAATCACACAACACAAGCACTAAACAACTCCAGGGCTTATCATCGATCAAGTAGAAATTTCAACTATAAAACACAGGACTAACTACAATCAATCATTTCTTACTTGGGCTACTTCAAATTGCAAACAAATTCACGCAATGCACTCAATTTAACCACCTAACCAAGAACTAACAGTCTAATGCTACATCCAAATCATTCAATTTTCATCTTCCCTACGGTTTCCTACTACTCAGATTCAAACCCGTACCTGGCTTGAAGAATATAGAGAGCCCAAAATCAATAGCCTTGAGAGGCGAATTCTCCTTCTTGTTAGCAAACAAGAAATTCTCGGGCTTCAGGTCCCTGTGGATAACCCCATGCTTGTGGCAGAGCTGCACGACCTCCACGATGGTTCTCGTGACTGATGCTGCGGCACGCTCCGTGTAGTGTCCGCGGGCGACGATGCGGTCGAAGAGCTCACCGCCCTCGCATAGCTCCATCACAATGTGCACCGCATTGTCGTCCTCGAAGGCCTCTCGGAGAGCCACGATGCTTGAGCTCTTCGGAAGGTGGCGCATGATAGCAACCTCGCGGCGCACATCATCCACGTCGACGGCGGTCCTCAGCTTCCGCTTCGAGATGCTCTTGCAGGCGAGGAGCTCCCTCGTGTCGCGGTCGATGCAGAGGTACGTGACGCCGAACTCGCCGCGCCCGAGCTCGCGGTCCACCAGGTACCGGTCCTCGATGTTCTCCTTTGGTACTCCGGCAAGGACCGTGATCGGCGCCTTCTTCTTGTTCCCGACGGCGGAGGCGGAGTCTCCCCCGCGCTTGCCGTGATCGTGGCCGGAGAAGCTGGATTTGACGTCCTCTCGGGCGACAGCGGCCGGAGATCTGCAGCAATTTCCCATCGGAGGAGTGAACGGTGGATCGCGAAAAGAAGGTCTCGTAGTAAGAGTCGGAGAAGCTAGGGCTTCACATGATAATGCCGAAACCCTAACCCTAGAAGTTGAAGAAAAAAGGGTTCAATTTTTGAAACACTCTGAAATTGAAGGTGAAGAAGAAGAAGAAGCAGCAGAAGAGTGAGACAGTGCTAATCAGTCTGAGGGTGTACGGTAACGGCGAGGGATGCGGTTTTTTAGGAGTGAGGAATCTCGTGTTTTGGGCATTTAATTTATTTTTATTCTTTTTTTTTATAAAAAATAAAAAAAATATATACATTTTTCTTACTTTAAGTTAATTTTTCTGTATTTTTTATTAAAAAAAATATTTGTTATTTTAAATGACATAAAGTTATGTCATTTTAAAATAGAGATATACACAAAATAATTTTTTTTTAAAAAATTAAATTAAAAAAAATATCCACTTTCTCTCTCACATAATTTTTATTTTTTGTGTTTATCTCTTTTTTAAAATGATATAACTTACGTCATTTGTAACAACAAATACCAAATCCTTCTTTAATTATTCTCTTAAATTAATTTGTTTTACATTTGAAATATATTTCTAAAAATTAGTCAAAATTAAACACGATCTTAACGAAAGAATAACGTATGTACGAAATATGACGGGTGAATAAATGCACAATTGATTGGAATAGGTTATATATAAAAATAATAATAATAATTTGTAAAATATTTTTAGTTCCACAGCTTGCGTTAACTATTAATCGAGGAAGTGATGTTACATGACATAGGATTTTCAGAAGATTACAGAAAAGTGATATCGTAAAGTAGGAGGGAGTTGACAAAAAAATAAATGTGTGGATCCCGCCTCTTTGTGAGAGTAAAATGATATAAGTTGTGTCATTTAAAAAGATAAATAATTTTCCCTTATAAGATATTGCGGCTATTTTTTTCTTACTTGTATTTTACTTTTTTTTTTTTTTAGAGATAAGATATAGTAACAATCAATTAGTGTTATTATCAATCAATTTTACCGTTAGATCGATTATATTGATCCAACAGTTATATTTATTTCTATCGTTGTATGGTTATGACGTCCCATATTTAATTTTCACATTAAATATGAAGAATCATACCATACAAAGGTAAAAATAAATATAAATATTAAATATAGGAAATCATAACCCTACAAAGATGAAAATTAATATAACTGTTAGATCAGCATAATCGATATAACGATAAAATTGATTAGTAATAACACTAATTGGTTGTTACAATATCCTTATCTTTTTTTTTAATATCATTAAATTAGAATTTTAATTATTTTTATTATTTTCTCTCCTCTTAAAATTATAATATAATAAAATTAAAAAAAAAATAGGCATAAAAAAAGTTAAACATAATATCCTATCCAATAAACAATTACATCATTTTAGAATCCACTTTTTATAGTTTCTTATGATAAATAAAGAGCAGAATTATATTTACAAATTTTTTGTTTCCAAGCTATATTATATAATCTTGGAAGTACACTAGATTATACCATATATTTTGAAAATACATAATATAATTTGCAAAAAATTTGTAAAAAATTTATAAATGGATCATTCTCATAAATTAATGCCATGTCATTTGAATTCATTTTTGTATAAAATCTTTGGTTATGTTTATCATTTTCGCTTCATTTGTCATTAATATGCGTAAATTAAATTAGATATTACATTTAACGTAATGTATACATATAAAAAAAAGTTGAAAATGTCCAAACCCACACTTGTATTTATGTATGGTAAATTTTAATAAAGATATCTTCATATCTGAATTAGGAGAGTTCCTTTCTGTTCAGGCTTTTTACTTTTGTTTGTAGTCACCTTACACAAAACAGTGCAAAGATGAAATCTTTGTTATACGACAAAATCAATAATTGAGATCATGGTTTACCAAATAAAATAAAAAAATTGATGCATTTAATAAAAAAAAAAAAATTCCTCCAGATTAACAGCAGACGTATTTATTGATTATATTCAGCATGTGAGTATAGAAACAACATTCTAGTATTTAAAATGGACATGTTGTGCACAAGCCCCTATAAGATAGGTGGTTTACTAACTTAAGTATTGGTAGCATCACTTAAAATTTAAAATAATTAAAAAGTGACACATGTTTCTGTATTTAAAGAATAAAATAGTAAAACTAAAAGTAGATGAACATGGTAAACCTCAACTATGTTCAACAGTTCAAGTGACACTCAGGATCATAATTATCTAAAAATATTGTATAGTATCAATGATTTTATTCTCTAATAATAATATGCAACTATTTACAATTAAAACATCTGTCCTTTGTTATAAAAGAAATCTTGCTGTTTAAAGTTTGTGAGTTCTACAATACCATTTAAGAGCTTGACCAGTTGGTCATACACTAATGACTACTGTAATCATACATCATCAATTCTCAATGACCAGATGTTAATTTTTATTTGTATTTTTTATCTGTGATTCAATTGTTTTATAATAGTGTCCCTTTATTTGTGTAATGTTTTAGTTCCCGTTTCCATAGTTGCTAATTTTTACAGCATACCGTTGTGGAAGGTAGGAGATAAATGTTTTAATAATTGAATTTTTGTTTACTGATTATTTATTTATAATGTAGTATCCTTACAGCGTCCATTGTCATATTTATGAAATTTTAGCCCAGGATGAATTGATTGAAGATAGGAAATGACTTATATTTTGTAGCACCCAGTATACGAGAGGTAAAATTGCTTCTTTTTTTTAAAAAAAATTGAAAAATCACTAATTCGAGTTTTGAAAAATGAAAATAGTCTCATAAAAAATATAATGATAAAGACTACATAATTAATCGTTATTCCTATCTTTGCAAAATGGAAAAAATTTATGCATCTAAATTTTTTCTTTTGCCCTTTGAAGGGTGGCAAAATGTGAGCCGGTTCGTATTGTGTCAAGTTTGACTTGTGGGTCAAATTATTCAATCCGAGTACAATACATTTTGTTTGCGGGTTAAAAATTGAAACTTAAACATGACCCTCCATGGGTCATGGATCACACGGATTGATCGAAAAAGTTAAAAAAAAAATTCTAAAAAAATTTTAAAAATAAAAAAATAAATAAAATATACGGGTTGACTCGTGACCTGCAGTGGGATATGTCAAAATCATTAAGATTTTAACTTTTTTGATTTACGTTTTGACAAAAAAAGAATTATGAATTGACGCAACAGAACACTAATTCGTGTTATTTATCCAAATCTGCTCACGATCCATTTTATCCCACGAGTTGACACAACTAGCATTTTAACATGTCATGTCGTGAGTCATTCCACTTTTTCTCACCTAGGGGAGAGGTTGTTTTTATACATAAGTAGGTTATGGTAAATATGTAGGTGAAGCTACTATGGAAAGAAAGAAAAGATGATGAGTGTCACTTCATATAATGTGGTTGGTACTTGGTACAAATATGTGAAGAACATATATTTGGCTAAGGAAAAAAACGTGGTTGAATTTGAGAAACTATATGATCAATCTAATCTTATTCATATGAAAGTTATAAGCAAAAATAGACATTAGTTGTTGCGTATTTAATCTGAATTGAAAACAAAATTTCTTAGTCAAAACTTCGTAAATATAACAAGTATGGTTTTATTTTATTTTTTCATAGATTTTGAATGTTGTGGTTGAGTGGATGATAGATTATGTTAAATTATTGATATTTTGGGAACATAATTAAATTATTGATATTCATATGTAGAGATGCAATTACTTTTGACTGGGTTGATCAACGTGTGGTAACAGAATTTCAAGCTTGATAAAAAAAAAAAACTAGCTAGAGAGGGGGAATACTGCTTTTTAGGAAGGAAAATTAAATTGGAAAGAATGAACGCATTTTATCTTAAACAAAGAAAAAGGAATAAAATTATTTTAACTTATAGGGACTTGGATTTTGATAACTTTTGTTTGTGTCCTGGTTGTTATGAGAATATAGTTAGGAGAGATTGTTCTTTATGAAATGATAGAAGCAGAGTGCAAAATCAAGGAACAAAAAAGAAAAAAGAGTGCTAGAAATAAGAAGAGAAGATGCCATGTGTTGTCTCTTTAATTTACAAACATATGAAATCAAAGGGACCTTCTTGTCTGTCTCTTTTCTGTGTTTGTTTCTGTCAAAGAAAGTGGGTCTCATGGGGCACTCTACCAACTAGCTTTTCTCCTCCTAATTCTGAAGTTGCTAGCATTGTTTGAGTGCTTGTTTTAGAAGCTGCACATAATTGTCACTAAGACTTAGATCACACCCTTAGGAAAGGGTATTAAATTATGAGTCAACCAAACTTTTTTTGAAACCAAGGTTTAGTATATTATTGGGTCCATTATTAATTGGGGAACAAGAGTTATTATGCTTCATTTTGTATTGATTTTCTTCTCATTGGATACAGAGAACAAAGACAGATATCACCAAACAACTAGAAGAGGGACAAACATAGACAGAGGAAGGCCAAATAGACAAATCTTATTCAGATTTGATTCTCTGTTATAATTTAATTACTCAAACAACCTTGATGCCATCACATGAATAGAATGAAAAATAAGTATTAAGAATTGAAGAAGTAGTCAACATTTTAGCAACATTGCATCTTTTGATTCAAAATTTTAAGTTGTCCTAGTTGTCTTTGTTGTTGATTGTATTACTCTTTTAGCCAAACCAAATTATTAGTGATTTCTCACATGTTTTGTTAGGCTATTCAGTGTGCTGAATATCTTGCTAAATTTGGGGACATCCATGATTCTTCTTTTTGTAAATCCTCTATAGCATAAATGAGTTTTCTTCTTCTAGCCAATAACTCTAGCTTTTGTTTAGCCTTTCCTTTGCTTATCTTGAATATCCAAAATTAATCAGAATCACTTTCACAAGAGATCGTCAAGGATATATCAACTTTGAAAGAATCTTGTTTGGTGACAGTCCATGTTATGTATATTATGTATATATATTTTATGGGTTTTATAAGAGTTATGTTGTAGGAAAAATGATTGTGTTATGTTATAGAGATTCATTTTGCGTGCCGAAGTTTTTTTTTTTTTGCTGCGGGTCCCACAAAATGTTGTGTGTGTAGGAAACTTTTTGTGGTCATGTTAAATGATAGATGATAAACCCA